TAATTCATAAGTGACCTGTTTCAAAATGTACATGTGTGCCACACGCGCTGGATCCTAGAACATTTGCAAACAAAGCGTTGATTTTATACGTATGTATATGTTTAGCTATAATATATATACTACTAAGTTCCTCCCAATATGGCTCAAACCATCCACGTGAATTTGTGAGTTCTCTGGTTAATTTTATGACTGAATTTTGTTAGAAACCCAATAGTGCAATAATGCATTGTAATATTTGTATGAGAACATGTCAAATAGATCGAGTAACAAGGGTATGGATAAGTTAAAACTTCAGATTGGCGTGCTTGGTGGTTAAGTTAATAAGGAGGAGTAAATGTTTTCGAGTTATTATTGAAAGGTTTGACGTCGAAATCGCTTACTTCTTCAGGCAGTAAGTTATATGTGTGTGGTAACGGATGACAAAATGCAATTGAGGATCCAATTAGAACGTCGTACATGAAAAGATTGCGGAAATATTCTCACAGGAAACTTAGAAGCCGCAGTAAGACCAAAGTGACCCGCCTACAACAACGAGGTAGCAGATTGGCTGAATCAAAGATTAAACTACTCTGATCAAATTGAAGTAACAGGAGGCATCATTAGTACAACAGGGGTTTCGGCTGGATAAGAATCAATACGAACCAGGCTCATTCGCACTAGAATAAGCTGGTAAAATATCTGGACCAACGCAACCGAAAAATTACATGACAATTAAACGACTCTAATATGCTAACGATAAAGCACAAGCACATCTATTCTTCCATGTTAATGTGGTGTATACAGATCTTATATATCGTTAGCTATTAAGGTCAAATACTGCCAGTGATACCAGTTTAAGCAAACAACCATATTCGTTATTGGAAGGTTATAACAGAAAAATACGAGATAGATGTGAAATTTTTGCGTTCAGTAGTGTTACACAGCGCGCCGCCGTAAGGCGTAAGATGAAGTTATCGCTAGATATTATAACTGTAGAATATAGCGTTAACTGAATCCGTTTGCCAAAACAGTTCGCCAACGGGAACCAGCAAACGCGAATAGGTAGGGTGAGAAGGGAACAAAACGCAGTCTTCGTGGTAGCTTAGTGGGTAACGTACTTGCCCTATTGATTTTCGGGCCGCGTTGTGCTCTCGGTTCGAACCCGCGCATAGACACACTTCATTTCGTGCTGGGGACTATCTAGCCGTTCGTCTAATGCAACGTCTAACGGCAGTATCAGACGGAAAACTCGAAACCTGGCAGAAGTATTTTCAGCCATCCAGGGCCAGAATCTGTCTGCCTTCTAAGTATCTGTTGGGGCGATCGCTTGAGGAGATATGATCATCGCTAGATCGACCCGAACAGAACTATATACGAAGCAAACCAAACAAAACAAACAAAAACAAACGAAGGCAAATAAGCCATCACACCTTGTTCTCACTGGGATGCTAACATTTTTTCTACTCGATTTTGCGTTCTCGAACGGGCCGGGGGCAAAATTTTGGCAGCGACTCGGTCCTAGCTTGGCATTTTCACTGTACACAGTAGTATGTATGCTAATGGTGACAAAATATGATCATGCATAGGTCAGACGTTATTAGAAGTTGATGAAGCTTCGCGTATCAATATAGGACGTAAACAAACGTAAAATTCAGAGCTCACGTACCGAAAATGTGAATGAGATTGCTGCAAACAGATGAAGTGGTAACGCAATTACAAAGGAATAACAAGCAGAACACTGTTGTTATTGGCCCTTCGAACCTTCGCTTGCGTTTTATCGTACAATGTTGGTCGCGCTGGAAGCCAGCTACAGAGCGACGACAATTGACTGTTCCTATATCGAGATTTCCAATTTGCAACGATGGAACATGTGCTTCTAACGACAGAATTAGTTATATATTACTAGTAAGTAAATAATGTTAGCAGATTAATAATTTAAAGGAGGCCTGAAAAAACTACAGCCCATTCAATGTCGTTTATTCGATGCTGAATAACCCGTCTCGTAGCGCTGTCATTGTGTAGTATTAAACCCATTCTGTCGGGAATAATGATTGCTACTCACACAGATGCTTCTATTTAAGGATTTGTTAACATTTTTTTCGTCCGCTTCCACTTAGCTATATTTCGGTCATTGTTTTGGAAATCTACATTGTCATTTGTGGCTAGTTTATGATAGGGCAGCACTGTCGTATCTTTCGCGGCATGATTTAAACTGGAAACGCGAATCATGGTAATGCGTAAATAAACTCCGGATAATAACGTTTATCTCGTACGTGCGTCAAATATAAATGATGAGGTTATATATACCCAACTACTATAATTCCATTTGTTTAGTATAAGACACTAATAAACGTGTTCTTAGATTGAATATTTATTAGAACGAATATTAACCCACAGCAATGGGTTAACGTAAACATACTAGCAAAGCGTATTGCCAGCTTACTAACCTTAGTGTCGTTTCAACCAAATTGAGTTGTATTACATGCAAGATAATATTTCTATTTAGAGCCTCGAACGTATGAGTGAGTCTCTATATCAGTTTGATTTCTCGCCTTCTGACCGTATTGCCTCGGCTACCTGAGGGGGCTATGTCATTCATCATCGTTATCATCGCTACTGCTCCAGACGACAACCCTGATGAGGATGCGCGGTGGCTTGGCCCGCTGAAGTCGTCCTATTTTGACTCGGCCAATAATAGCATTAGTCACCCTAAAGGGCAGCATAAGCTCACTGTGTCTCTAGTAATTCTGCTGGGAGAATTGGCCAGTATCGGGAACACAGTGGCCTGGTGTAGCCTAGGAGCACCCGCCCGACCGGCCATTCGTTCCCCCACGAGGAGAGAAACTCCACAAGACGTCGTCCAGTATGGGATCAGTGGGCATTACTTTTCACTGAAAACGTGCTGGCCAGAAAACGTACAGGGTCAAGAGACAAGATGCGGGCGGTAAGAAATATCGTCCCGAGAGGGACAATCTAGAGCCGATCGGGAGTGCCCTTACTACAGCTACCCATTAAACAAGAAGGCTGTTTGTATCGAAGATGGCACTAGATAATTTTAAGTGGAAGTAACAGCGTGGGATGTGAAGTCTCTTGTGGCGTGGTACAGAGATGTAATGTTTACTTGTAGAGGGCGCTTCTACACTTCCTAAACTTCATTGTTACCGTGCAAGCATGTAACAATTGTAAACCAGCTAGGCTGATGTAGACTGCGTAGGTATCGTGCACAGGCATACACCCCAAAGACACAGTTTTCATATCCAAGCCTTTTTTTTTAAATAAATTTTTATGCTAAATAAAGAATACATCACTCGATTCGTCTAAAATTTTTATTGAAAACTTAACAAAATTAGATTGAACATTTTATTCGAGATAGTGTGCTAGTCTGCCTCTACTGTCAAAGACAGAATTGTAATATATGACAATAATCCTTTGCAAATTTTGTTTCAAAAATGTATGTATTTAAAAAATGGTTTAACAATCGATTAATTGTTTAAACCGTTTTCGTTTGCTAACCAAGGAAAGTGTAAACCTCATGGCGGTTAACAAAAATTCGATACTGAAACCTAACGAGGCGCATCGACAGTGATCCTGTAGGCGCAATGTTTGGCCTTTATTTATGTGCAGCGATTCGTATCATCCACCCAGGAGTCTCTGGATTTGACCGTTCTTCCTCTAAGGCAGTGCTCTCTCTGTTAGTAGAACAGCGCGCCAGTCGTTCTGCTTTTTTCAAAATGTGGAGAGGTCATTTTGTCGCAAATCTCGTTTTCGCTCAGGCCGTTACCAGAAGCTTAGGGCTTCGGCCTTTCAAATGCTTTTTGTTGCTAACGAAGCATGCCGATATGCTTTCTTTCGCCACATTTGAGTTCTCACCCTTGCAGGATTTACCTACCAACATATGATGGAACTCAGGGTACAAACTGTAAAGTGTGCACATAGGATGTAAGTTCGAGAATTATGTAAAAAGGGACGTACGTAAATTCTAGGTAAGCAATAACAATACAATTTAGCTAGAAAAACTACATTTTGCATCGTATAATTTTAATTACCTCTGTCAAAATTTACACTCCTCGTCGCCCGTTCCCTATCCCGGTGTTCTATGGCGGATTTTGCTTACCCAATAGCTACCTGGTCGGCTTACTCAAAGTGTCGCGTGCAAATTGTTTTATCTAAACTGCATATAATAACAATAATAACAACATAGCACCTACCGATGAACCCTTTCCTATGCTAACGTACGATAAATGCTGAAAGGAGGGCGCATATCGTCTCTTGGCCTCCCCTGCCTACCAGGCAAACCCAAAGATGGACGGGCAGATTTCTTTCTACTTTCCCACCTTATCGTCATTTTGTCTCAGAGTAGCTAGTTAGAATTTGTATGCCAGGAACATTGTTTGCAAGTGAATCAACATGGTAATTGTTCATGGTAATGTCATTGTTTGTGGAATAGCTCACGTACAATGTTTTCGTACAGCAAAAGTAATGGCTAGCGCACATACACACAGAGTCATACGACCAATTTCCGGAATGATATAATAATGATAATCAGGATGATACCAATATCGGCACGTATCGTAAGCGATGACATTATATGTTAAAAAATATTTCAAAGCGCATATTCTCAATGAGAAGGCCACTGTGGCTTCTATAGCGGCAGTATAAACGGTAATGTCACTTTAATATACATTCGTTCAATTAAATCATCACTTCGGACACTTTTATGCTCCTGAATTCCGGGGTGTAAGACGTCAACACATAAAGAAATCCTTAGATCCCTGTAAACAGAAAGGAAACGGCAAAGCTGAGAAAGAATATCATGTGAACTGAGAGTTGTTGTTATTATTATTACTATTAGTCGATTTAATGGGAAAGGTTTCGGTAGCGTCTGCTACTTTGCGATTGTTTACGTCTGTTTATATATGTTAGTTTTCTTTTGTCACCTGTGGCCCGAGAGCCACAGCGGTAGTTGACAAAAATCAGCTCGTTTTAGCTATTTCAAAACCGCACTTCACTCAATATGTGTTCGAAAAGTTATGATCTGAGCACTACTGCTGAAATATGTCTAGCTTGTAAGGCCTAGTTACAACAGTAGTAATAAGCTACGATTCCATATACCACGCGAGATCCTACATCCGCGGCTTGGTTTACAACTTACTCCGCCGGGTGTAGTCATTTTATAATCGCTGGCAGATATTGTTCTATTTGGTAATATTAGTATTGATTGCTCTACCTCAAAAATGCCACTGCGGTCGTGCACGTAGGAAATCAGAATAACTACTTCAGTCAACCGTGGCTTAGCTGACAGCAATAACGGTCTTCTGTCTAATTTTCAACATTCGCTTCTGGAGTCTCTTTTACTACGGAAGTCGTGCAATGCACGAGTTCGGCTCGATAGCCGTACACCCTATAAGCGTATCCGTCAAACTGCTAGTCAAAAATTTCATCTGGTCGGCTTTCAATGAGCACATGTCTAGTTACCTTCTCTGGTCCCGTCTCTTCGTGTTCCTGTTTGGCAATGTTGGAACTTTTCTTGCGGTCGTAATGAATTATTCTCGGTATTTTTCAATGCAATTGATTTCTTTTGGTTTACAAACGTAGCTCAAAGTGACGTCTTTCCCAATACATTCAACAGGTCTGATTAGCTCATGTTGTGCTAAGATTTCCGATAGCTTGAACAGTATATTTCTGCATTCATTCCGTGCCGTATTACGTGGCGGGTGCTATTAAACTATGTTACACTTAAGGCTCGCGCGCAGTTCCGCGTAATCAGGTTATATCTACTGAAGTAACTCATCGATGTTCTACATATAGTTCCTAGGACATATAGACACAGATAAAGAAAACCTTTTCCAATAGTTCTGTTCAAAGAACTTTCTTCACATGGCTTTGATGCAGCCTGTATAAGTGATTTACTCCTGAGCTCAATGGCGGGAAACATTACAATGCTTCGAACAATAGCACCCACCGTCTACAGCGTAGTTCGCATCTACTAACTAACAAATCCAGTATGGCATCTTTCTACTGTTTGGGAATAAACTATATTAATCCAATGGGATAAAGCTCAATCTATTAGTGCCGGCAAGTGACTCGCGTGCAAAACGTTTACCTGGAACAAGGATGGCTCACTCTTCTGGCTTGTATTGCCTTTTCTATGGCTTCCGCAACACTGGCTCCTCGTTAGCTAGCTCGTGTGGCGCCAGACGCAGAGAGCGGTTGGATTTTTAATGCCAAATGTCTCGTTGCCTCGTTTGCTGTCCCTTGACACTAATTAAAATTGATTCTACAGAATAGAGCCGGCCTGATTTGCTCTGAGGTCTTGTCACACAAATATGATGTCGACCATCATCGCGGTGGATAGCTTTGAGGAATAACGCTGTCTCATTATGAGCGGCAAACAGTAATACAATCTCCTGTTGATAGTTTCTGTTGTACGCGCAGGTATACTGTACATTGCTACACTATATCATTCAAGCGTATCAGGCGTATATTGGTTTAATATGGGTTGAACAATAGCTATCTACGTTGTAATCGGAAAAAGAAGGTTAAATCCGCGAATGAACACGACCTCAGGTGTCCTGTCATCCTGACATCTTGGATCTTTACGGGAGCTCACTTTTATTTGAGTCGGAACACCCTGACATATTTTCGAGGCTTTCCGTTGCTCAGAGTACGTATAGCTAACTAAAAAATAGGCAATACCTATAAAGTTTAAAAAAAAAAAGCAGATTTTTAAAACAAAAATGAGTGCAACTTCATCGCTAATCAATTAGGTAAGGTTTGGTTTTATTTAGCCCCGTATAATGACTGTATAGCAGTATTATGGAAAATTTGCTAAGGCCCTTTCACCAACTGAATAATACCCTTTATATACGTTATATGCATGGAGTGCATTTTTTCGCGTAGCAATAGCACATCCTAATAATAAATTCTCTTCTCGCTGTCGTCCAGGCCATAAAGCTTTCCCCTTTTAGGGCCTTTTCTCTGTAATGTTTTGTCGTAAACCTCTGTCGTCTCTAGTTGTATGGCATGTGGGTACATGGTTGTGCCTTTAAAAGGAGCAGTCAATTAAACAATGAACCACTGAATGAATGACATGAATGAGTAAGTTAGCTAAGTTATTATTTAGCGAAACAAGTGGACGTAGCCTAGAGAAGCTGCAGGCTACTAGAATGGCTGGGGACGAGGCAATTAGAGACGAGCTCTGGCTTAGCTTGCATCGAAGTCAGTAAACGCCATTGGCGCCATGACAACCCGACGATTTACTCTGCCGCTACTTTATAAACACAAGTACTTATGCCGATTTGGGTGCACATTTGAATACATTAGAGATAACCAAGAAAGGGGCCGGAAGAGAGCTACGAGTAGTATGTAGCACTTACATAATAGCCAATAATGTTGCATGTCAGTTTTACTCTTTCCATTGCTGTTGCGTCTGCTGCCAGCGGCGCTGCGCAGCCGTAATTACGAGATTTTCCTGTTTAATCGTCCACGTTCTGCACTGCCCCCTTATCCCGTCCCGTTCTGCCTCTGCCGTGAGTCATTCCTCTGCGCTAAAGGAAAAGTTTGCTATTGAACAATGGAACCGTGTTCTATTGCCAGTTAACCTTTGTACAGCAAAAAAATGACTGAACGAGCAGCTAAATAGGGTCCGCGAGACGAAACGTTTAAAGTGTGGAGTTGATCATGCAGAGATATTCTACTGTCCATATCTCCTCATTTAACTGAACGAATTGCGGTTCTACTAGAACTTCTAACTGCGGTATGTTCCCACGTAGAGGGATCGTGCACACCGACTTACGTGTAACTTACAATTGCATATATGCATATATCTTTTACCTTCGATTTCACTTCTTTTAGATTTTTATATTACAAGTACGCAAAATAGAAGTGAACTTGAAATAATGGATTTTCGAAGTATCACCATGCTCTTTTGAATGTCTTTTTTTTTTTTTTTTTAATATCTTTAATGAATAATCAGGTTCTACAGATGTGGATCGATAAATATTATAATATCTATCATAAGAAACAAGGAAAAAGCTATCGACATTACACAAACGCAAGTTGGAGCCGGAACGTATTCAGCACAATTGGTTTATCTGTTAGGCCTTCACTGTGTCAGAACGTAGAGGAAATTTTGTCTTAATTACGTACCGGCGCGTATATTAGCCTACCTTGCCAGTAATGCAAGAGAAGTTGTCAAGATGCGGCAGGATATACAAGTTCCCTTCTTCCGATTTTGCCCATTATATGTGTGCGATGCACCGCAATATAATTCAACTTATGTTACTGGATATGTTCTCCTAAGCTAAACGACCTTTTTTTTTTTACTAGGTCCGTACATTTGTACAGAGCAGGCCAGTCGGGGTTATCCCGTTATAAGTAAGATCGGTCAAGTGACTCAACAACACAGGACACACCAAGTGCATTTGCTGGACAGGGACGATCATGTTGTCGTAAGCAACTTCAAAGGACGCCAGAAAGCTAAAAAGAAACTGAATGTATCTATCGTGTATCGTTATTACCGTCATTACGTTAAGTATTTTAAATATAAGCTAAGCTTCTTTGGCTTTCTTCGTGGCAATTACTTGCTTCATCGCTTCTGCATATATTTGGCTCTATCTCTGAACTTGCGGCACGGATCTTCCCCTAAGCTTGTCGACAATGGCCCGCTTGCAGTCGTTTTTTGATAGCATCATTTTTAAGTATTTGAGCCAAAGCAGCAGTGAAGACAGCAAATTGATTGACTGATTCAGTGTGAAGAAAAACATCACAATGCAATATTACCTGTGTCGGCAAAGACGATATATGTCGATGGTCACTCTTCAATTGATCACATGTTATCGCATGTAGCAAATCTTTTAATTTTAGCACGGCAAAGTTGATAGACTTTAATTAAACAGATTAATTTAACTAGTATCGCCATTATCTAATTGATAATAGAAGTGAGTAATGTGTTAAGCTCCTCGTAGTTTTAAGGTAGATCTCGAAGTTGATGAAGTTGTTGTTATAATCGTCATCGCCGCTATTTAAGAATTAAACCCGGCGCAACAATGTGACTCGACAGCTTTTGTTGCTTTACCATCTACATGTACAAGGTACATCTGGTCCTTACCTCTTGTAGGATAGAATATTCACACACGGCTATCGATTGCAATAAGAAACGGTCGTTACGGCCTTTTCATGGTGATTTTTTACGTGCAGTGCCTGTGAGCAGGCACATTCAACATTCGTCCAGACAAGAGCCGTTGAAACTGAAAATAAGCACTATTTTCTAGCACCTGCTGCTGCGCAAAAATGATCACGAACACTGGCAGTTGAACAACGTAAACGCTTGATAATTTTCCCATAGACGAGGGCAACGTGCCGTGGACAGCTGATGAATCTCGTTGAATGGGTCACGAAGAAAACGATGATTGTGAGTTTATCTGAATTCATATTTCAGCGTTGCCAAATGGTTACGACTTTTTTTGTGGTTCCGTTGGAGAAAGCCCAGATAAGTCTAGCCAGATCAAGCCCGGTCAGACCTTCTACAGCTGGCAAGTCATTGTTGTTAGACCGAAGAGGTAATTGTACTTCTATAGATCCTATGCGAGTCTTTATAACTGGTCTTATTGCAGTTACAGTCCGCAGCAATTAGCAGAAGAAGGGGCGGTAGAATATATAGTATTACATTAAAGTATCGCTATTCCTTCTAGCAAGTTAGTGATATCGATGCAGAATCTCATCTCAGCTTATGTATGTGCATAGGGCAATGAAAGATGGTCAGTTGACAATTAAGACTAGCCCAGTTAACCGACATAAACGTACTAGTAACTTATTTTGGCTAATGACAGACATTTGATTGAACTCGTGTATTTCAATTTAACATATGATATATTAATTTTTTTTACTTAATTTAATTTTTTCATTTGGGAGCATAAAGTATACATCCCAATACCTACTTTCGTCCGTCTTAGAGCTCAGGGGTCTCAGCTTTTACAAGAAAAATGTCTGTAGTCACTCAAGAAGTAATGAAGCAAACAAAGCAGCAAAATGCTCGAATTTTACCAACGACCCGTCTATGAATAGTTTTTTTTTACAGGACACGTGCTTCTGTCCAATGTTGCACTTCCCAATCGTATACGGCCACCTCACTATGGCAGGACCCGATAAATATGCTCGTATTTCCCTTATGGTGATTGCGGAAGCAGTTTAATTGGGAGATTATGTTTCGTTACATTAGAGAAAAGTGACGTAGCTTAGGCATTTTTCATGAGAAACCGATTTATTTTGTTTAACAAGCGAACAGTACATCTTTAGCAAGCATGTTCTACGCATCTTTCGTGAACTGCTAAGGAGAATTATTCTCGTGAAGTCTTTATCGTATTTATACCGTTCGCGGTGTTAGCGAGACTCGAAATAGGGGAAATATACATTTATAGGAGATGAGAATAGGAGGAAGTTATATGACGCCCAAGGTGAGGGGACCTATTACAGTCTCGCATAATGAAACGACGAAGCCTTTCATATATCCTAAACAAGGCCACTGTTGGCATTGCTTACCACGCGGTGCGGGGGCTTAAATCGCGTCGCAACGGAAACGTGGGCTACGCAGTAGGAAGAAAGACAGGAAGAGGATATCATGTTTTATTTACGATAGTCCGACACCCTCGTGTCTCTGTGTGATCAAAAACCCATTCCCGATAGCTGAATGTTTTGCTCCAAGAGTCAATATCCGCAAAAAGGCAGCTTATATTCGTTAAATAACTATCGGCCCTTGCCGATAGTCGAGGCTGACTGGAAGATAAGGCTGAACCTTATCTCATTTGACTATAGGATGCATCATACAAAGTTAATTGTTGATTTATACAAGAAATTTTGTTTACGAAAAATAATTACAATTGAAATCAAATAAATACACAAATTGTTAGGCGTTTGCTGAAACTGCTGCTAAGGCGTCTACAAGTATGGGGAGCATACACAAGTAAAAGTCTGTGACTGAGTAAAGCCAGGCGTTCTACGATTTTGCATTATCGGTTGGTTTTCCTTACGCTTTTGTACGAAATTGTTTCTTCGAGTTTAGATTTTTGTCGGCAACTATTTTCTATTACTGTCAGATTTAACAGTTGAATTGGCTATTATTATTGGGAATTATTATTATTATCATTATTTGTGTCACAATCGATTGTTCGTAAATAAACGAGTTTCTGTTGTCTAGGCGATTTTATCTAAAAGATGTTTATATTTTCGATTGTCCTAGTTAGACTCAGGCCAATAAGTTGTGCGCTACCTAGAACAATTGGCGAGAATAAAGTTTCCTACAGTAGAGTGTCCTCACCATTGGACATGTCACTAAAGACGAAAACAAGCCTTTTGGTGATTGTGTTGATGGGGCAAAATTGTACCTTACTCCACGACAAACAAAAAAAGCAACATCAACATTAATAAGTGTCAGGACAAATGTACGTCAAGTTATGAAACAATAGGATAGGACAAGCTAGGTAACTGTGCACCTGCTTTACTTCGTATGATTCCTCCCTCGTACAACTTGCACCTGAAGCATATTATCTGAATATTGAAAAAGGGACGGATAACTGCCTGTCACCTAAATAGAAACTGTTTTTACGATATTAGACCCCAAGTAGTGTTATTACGCAAAAATTTATTCAGAGAAAAACAACAAGAAACGTTCCAACGATGAAAACATGCTTGTACTTGAGTATATTCTTTTTTCTGATGCTTCACTTATATTGTGCGCGATTAATGTTTTTTTCCGGCCGATGTCCCAAATACATTCGGTGCTTCAAGTCAGCCGATCCGATCTACTATAGAACGTTGGATAAGACTCTTTTGTTGATATCTGATCTATGTACGAGGATTGAGTCAGACGACATTTTATAGATGTACGCGGACCGAGGACAAACCCAACTCTCGCACGGACGAGCGCCGCCCAGCGAGGACCGACTTATCCCATAGTCATACCACACTAGTCAGTCCTGCATAATTTTGGCTTAAATGGATGCCAAATTGTACGTGATATTTTTTCTCTCAATGGCACGCATGCAGTGACTTGTACATATTGTTTCACTCAAGTAGAACGTTTCATTTTTGGATATGGCTGTAAAACTGGATCATCTTATCAGCTAAAAGTTAAAAATCTACAAACGTGCAAAATTTGAATAAGAGAAATTACAAGTACCTGATATATATACACATATTGCGATTATCCTTATTTTCCAAAAGCTACCGACTGTTACATCGACTACTAACACACCCGTTCAATAAAGACTTCCAGATTGTTTTATCCAATGTAACATCTGTGATAAAACCCATGTTTTCGTACTTCGATATTGTGAAATAGCAACGGTGCGACACCAAATCCTATTCAGAAGAAGGACTATATGCCCTATGAACATTCTGTTATGAGAGGCAATTAAATGTCCGAGATCGAGCTGGTGAGTGTTTTTTTTTCTTCTTTTTTTTTTTTTATGGTAGTAGTTATTTATAATCGCTCTGGCATGGATACAATGGCTTTAGAAGGACGAGAGCTCGTGTCAAGGTCTGCTATTGTTTGAGACTTCTGCTGAAAATAATTCACCAAGATTATAATACCTGATAAAGTTTGATTTTTTTTAGTCACAGGCATACGATGCGACTTCATGAGGGAGAGGTAAACTATGTCGATCTAACATAATAAACAGCATATATAATAATAGAATAATGACCAAAGACTGCTTGTTGATTGAACTAATCCACCAAATGTCTATGGCCGAGTGTTTAAGCTAAAACCTGGAGACAAGCCATAGATATCAGCTACCTCACGAATATTTCACCCTTTATCGCAATCTTCAATATTATTCAAATGTTTCCGAGGCATGATTATTTACGCACCGGAACTGCGCGAGTCAATATGGATATAGCAATGTTCCTAAGACGCCACTGCTTATTATGGGTCATTTCAGTGTTCAGCGAAGGCTACGCGTTGGAAACCATTTTGACTGCAGTTCCGAAGCTAAAAATAACCATGTCATTACACGATAATGGAACAGTAGAAAGTTAGCAATGGCGATGCGAAAGCTACCTGAGCCGTTCATTCAGGCAGCTCGGGCCCTATAGGTTGGCATTTATTATTCTTCGGTTCCATTTTTCCTGGACCGCTATAAAACGGTTAAACATCGACAAAAATAAGGTGCCCGCTTTGTGGGGAGGCCTGTGGTTTTCATGTGGTTCTAGGAACTTCAGTTTGCAACAAGTAATTTACGTTCCTGTGTGGTCTATTGTTGCTTACCATCAGCCATTTTAGAACGTAACGTGGAGAGCACAGCTTCGCTAGCCGGGTCGGCAACCGGCAGTAGAAGACGATATCAGTAGACGGCCACATTGTAATAGATTATCAACCATTTAGATCAAAATTGATGCAATTCGTCTTTTTTTTTTATCATATGTATATTTTGAAATAATATTACTAAACAAAATATGCGCCATTTTGGTCGAAGACTTTTTCTGTTTTGCGAGCAGCATCATAACCTAGTCACTGTAGAACATCTATGGTAAAAATAGTGAGAAGCGATGCTTCCGTTAATGCCGTCTGGAGAATCCTGCAAAGACCGAAATGAATGATAATTTGATGGAATGAGGCCTGAGCTGTATGGCGGGTGCCTTAAAACTTCCCACCTCTCTTATTTTTTGCCGAGTAGCTTGAGAGGTATTCGGCCTGGTATTGTCACAATGAGAAACGATGCCTTTTCTGTTTACTAGTTCCAGTCAATTTTTTTCAGTGGCCTATTGTAATCGTTGGTTACTGATAGGAGGCGTCCGAATCGATTATTTTGCCAACAAGCAGCAGTTCGTAATGCATGATTCCTTTTCCATTACACTAAATAAACACATGGCACCATTTTTTTTTGCGTCAGTCGGAACTTTGGCACAGAATGTGGAGGCAGTTTTTCTTCTGTTTGTACATTATTGTATGTGACTTACTTTTCGTCATTTGCGGCCAACCGTTTTAACAATGTCTGGGTTTCACAGCGTTTCTTTGTAGTGTTGCAAATGAAAACATAGCCTTCTCTTGTGGTTCAAATGTAAAACCGTTTCGTGCTGGATAATGGATTTTTTAAAAACTGCATGACCAGGAACACGTTGATCTTGCACCACTTTTGCTATAATTTTGATAATTGATCGCCCCCTATTAGGAGCATCTTTCCCATCGAAGAATCCAGAACGAAATCGACGGAACTATTTCGGGGCCGTTTTCTCCAACAATGCACCTGAACCATAAATACGAGCCTGAACTCCACTAGTGTCTGTATCGTAAAAAATTACAAATTAAATTAGATTTTTTTCACAAATTTTACTAACTTTCAAGGCGTTCTTTTTTAATGTTGAATAGGGGTATTCCTACAATGTCAGGATATCTGCTGTTATTACATCCCAGCTTTTATACGATTTCAACACCGATCCGACGCGGCTCACATTTCTTGAGTCTTCTACATAGAAAAACAATCGATACTCTTTTGTAATGCCAAAAAACGTGTATTTGAAAAAAAAAAATAGAGATTTCCTATCTATTCAATATTCG